CTTACAGACTGTCTTATTGACCATGAGCCCAAGCAACCGTGGTGAGGAAAGAGATTGTGGTCAGAGTCGTCATAATAGCAAACTGTCTTTTGTAATTTTTGTAATACCGAGTAGAAATACTTCAAAACTGGTTCCCATTATGAACTGGACTCTCAGGTTAATATCCAGTTTTCTCCAAAATTAAGAAAGTGAGGAGGGGCTGGGTGTGGTGGCTCACACCTGTAATCCTAGCACTCTTGGAGGCCGAGGCGGGTGGATTGCTTGATCTCACGGGTTCAAGACCAGTCTGAGCAAGAGGAGACCTTGTCTCTAATTAGCTGGGCATTGTGGCAGGTGCCTGTACTCCCCGCTACTTAGGAGGCTGAGGCAAGAGAATTGCTTGAATCCAAGAGTTTGACGTTGCTGGGAGCTATGACGCCACAGCACTCTATTGATGGCAACAAAGTGAGACTGTCTTAAAAAAAAGAGAGAAAGTGAGGAGGGGAAGGGCACAAGAAAAAGATCACTTGAGATGAAATTAAAATTTACAGGAGTATGTTAATAGAACAGGGAAAGAAGGGGATCAGAGAGGAAGGCTGGATACAGAAATGGGTTGAGACCAACCCTTGGGGGAGGTGTTGAAATCGGCTTGGCTGAGATGATATGTGATCTTGGGGAAGTAGTGGTAGTCTACTAGTGTAGCTTAGATATGATCAAATGATGGTAAACCTTCCTTGTCTTTATTTTTTAAGTACTACCATGTTTCCTCGAAAATATGACACTGTCTTATATGTATTTTTTCTCTAGAAGATACACTAGGGCTTATTTGCAGGGGATGTCTTCCTCTCCACACCAAAATGCATCGCGTGGCTCTGCAGATATGCTGCACAGCCACGCTCATCACTAGGTCTTATTATTGGAGTAGGGCTTATATTTAACAAATGCATAGAAATCCTGCTAGGGCTTAATTTGGGAGTAGGTCTTATTTGGGGGAAACATGGTAGACAGGAGGTTTGAAAAGGACCAGTAATCAAAGGTAACTATGAAGTTAATTGGCTTCTGGGCATCAGTGGGGAGGGAGATTAACTGTCATTCTGTAACAGCAGGTTCTTCCAGACAAAGTGTTTAAGAAACACTGTGTTCCTCGGCCATCTTCCATGAAGTTTAGTTGAGAATTTCACATACAATTAAAGTTTTATCTTCAGTTCCCTTTTAGACAATGGCGACATATCTGGAGTTTATTCAGCAGAATGAAGAACGGGATGGCGTGCGTTTTAGTTGGAACGTGTGGTCTTCCAGCCGTTTGGAGGCTACAAGAATGGTTGTTCCCCTGGCTTGTCTCTTTACTCCTTTGAAAGAACGTCCAGACCTACCTCCTGTGCAGTATGAACCTGTGCTTTGCAGCAGGCCAACTTGCAAAGCTATTCTCAATCCACTTTGGTATGAATTCTTTTAAAAACTGGTAAAAAGTATGAATACAGTGAATTATTATTTTTCTGTTATTCTCATAAAAATCATTCAATTTGGGCAAATCACCAAATTTGAGATGAATAGTGGATGGTGAGATTCTTATGTGGTACATGCTTATAAAAATCTCCGAGTGGGCAGCACCTGTGGCTCAGTGGGTAGGACGCTGGTCCTGGTTCTAACCTGACCCCAATCAAACTGCAATAAAAATTAGCCAGGCGTTGTGGTGGGAGCCTGTATTCCCAGCTACTTGGGAGGCTGAGGCAAGAGAATTGCCAAAGCCCAGGAGTTGGAGGTTGTTGTGAGCTGTGTGATGCCAGAGCACTCTATCAAGGGTGATAAAGTGAGACTCTGTCTCTACAAAAACCAAAAATAAAGGGCAGAACCTGTGGCTCAGTGAGTAGGGCACCAGCCCCATATACTGAGGGTGGCAGGTTCAAACCCAGCCCTGGCCAAACTGCAACAAAAAAATAGCTGAGTATTGTGGTGGATGCCTCGAGTCCCAGCTACTTGGGAGGCTGAGGCAAGAGAATCACCTAAGCCCAAGAACTGGAGGTTGCTGTGAGCTGTGACACCATGGCACTCTACCAAGGGTGACAAAGTGAGACTCTGTCTCTTAAAAAAAAAAAAAACTCCCTGAGTTGGATGGAGCCTGTGGCTCAATGACTAGGGTGCCATTGGCCCCATATACCTGAGGTGGCAGGTTCAAACCCAGCTCTGGCCAAAAACTGCAATAACAACAATAAAAACTCCCTGAGCTAATAGTTCAAATAAAATTGGAATCTTATGGAAATTAGGTAGAGGTACAAAAAGAGTATTTGGAATTCACTTTTCTTTTTTGCAGTTTTTGGCTGGGCTGGGTTTGAATCTGCCACCTCCGGCATATGGGGCTGGGACCCTACTCCTTTGAGCCACAGGCGCCGCCCCTGGAATTCACTTTTTAGTTACAGTCACTTTGCTTTTGGCTTAACTGTAGACTTTATTGGTACCTTTTAAAGTATTTTCCAAAATGATTCAAAAGCTTCAGATTATTTTCTGATTTACCTGATAACGGCGATGCTATATGCAGGATGAAGCAGTAGGCAGAAGAAATTTAAACTCTTAATCATTTTATTAAGTGTAATCTTTTTGTACCTGAGATAGTGATGTGTGATATTTATTTTAAATGTGAGAACTATTTGAATAAATTTTTAAATGGATGGACAATTTTGTAAAATTTTGTATGAGGGACCATTTTTTACTTCATTCCTCTTACTTTAGTGTAATGTGACCATGTGTAAGAATGTTGTTGCTCCCCTTTTAAAATGATAGCCACTAGTTTTTAATTTTGTAAATTGGGGGTGGGGAGATGAAGCATTATTTTGAATTCTGGGAAGTGTATCAACCCAAAAGTGTTCTGCTCAACTTCTCTTTGAGTGGTTTAAGTGAGGTTGAAGTGTAAGAGGGTTTTCCAGTGTGTGAAATTTGCTTTTAATTTGGAATTTAGTAGTTTCACATAGCTGAACAATAAGTTGTTAGAAAAATTCCTGAATACTATGTTAAGGTATGAGGCAAAAAGAAATAGTCTATAATTTATATAAATTGTGAAATTTTAAAAATTAATGTAGGAGATTAGAAAAAAAAAAAGGTGGGCAGTGCCTGTGGCTCAAAGGAGTGGAGCACTGGCTCCATATGCCGGAGGTGGCGGGTTCAAACCCAGCCCCGGTCAAAAAAATGCAAAAAAAAA